ATACAATATAAGTATACAACAATCAATAGCCTTCTTATATACAATTAATAGAAAATATAATGGAAAACACATTCCATTTACAATAAGAACAGCTACAGAAAATACCCAGACATAAATAAATCTAACAAAAACTCTTCAATATCTTTAAAAAAGGAAAGAGAATGAAAAATTATGTAGCGATAAAGAAGGAAACATGAAGAAAGAAAATGGACAGAGGACAAAAAGAATTTACAAAGAAGAAATGAGAAAACATAGGAAGCCTATAAGTATTTGAAAAAATATTAAATCTCACTTACAAAAGAAATGTAAAACAAATAAAGCCATAATGTATTTTGCTAGTCAAATAAACAAAGATTATGAGAGAAGTTTGATAATACATTGTATCAGGGAATGTATAATTAAACCAGCACTCTCATCTCTTATCCTGGGAGTATAAATTGGTATAATATATGTGCAGGGCAGTTAATAATATAGCAGTTCCACTTTTGGAAATTTATTCTATAGGTATACTTGCCTATGCATGAGAAATGTGATGCATACGAGGATACCCATTTTGGTATTGTTTATAAAAGCAATAGGATGGAAATAATACAAATGTTCATCCATGGAGAATTAAGGAACTGGAAAAATATATTATGGTATGTCGTATAAAATATAATTTAGCTGTTAGAAAGATTGAGGCAATTATACATGTAATGATATGATATGAGGCTATCTTTAATATATAGTTAATGGTGAAAAAAGAAGCAGAGTATAGAATAGTGTGTATAGTATATTCCTCTCCCCCATTTTGAAAGGAAAATAAGGAACAGAAAATTCTAAAAGTTATACCCAATCAGTTGGTAACGTTGGTTGCCATGAAGAGGGAAACTTGGTAACAAAGTGGTAAGATGAGACAGTAACTTGCTTTTGCTCTATATTCATTTGTAACTTTTAAATACTGTACCATATGCTTGTTTTGCCTATTCAAATGTTATAAATTAATTAAAATCAAATGGATCATGAGCCATATTTTTAAAAATATTTAATCTTAATTTCTGTCTCAACATATTGGTGGATATGGAATATCAAATGTGAAAATCAATTCTAGGTGGACAGCATCTCAAAATATGACAAGTAAAATGGTAAAGCTTTTGGAAGAAATGGAAGATCTTTCATTACCTTGGAGTAAGCAAGATTTCCTTGACAGGATACAAAAAGCATGAACCATTAAGAAAAAAAGTTGACAAATTGGACTATATTAAGATTAGGAACTCATGTTCATTAAACAACACATCATTAAGAAAGTGAAAAGGCAAGCCACAGACTGGAAAAAGATATTTGCAATACGTATATCTGACAACGACTTATATCTAGAATATGTTAAAACTTCCTACAAACAGTTAGAAAAGAATAAACAATCCAATAGAAAAATGGGCCAAATATTTGAACAGGCACTTCACAAAAGTGGATATCCAAATGGCCAATAAACATGAAGAGGTGTTCAACATCATTAGTCATCAGGAAAATGAAAATTAAAACCAAAGTGCGGTACCACCACATGCTCTCCAGAATGGCTAAAATAAGAAAGATGAACAGTATCTAGTGTTGCTGAAGATATGGAGCACTCTTCTTGGTGGGGAAAGTAAACTGATATAATCTTTTTGGAAAATGATTGTCAGTAGCTATTAAGGCTGAACATATGATTTCCTATGACCCAACAATTCCATTCCTAAATATATACCCAACAGAAGTGCATGCACACGATCACTAAAGGACACCTACTGGAATGTTTGTTCATAGCAGTTTTATTGGAAATAGCTCCAAACTGAAAACTAATAGAATCCAATGTACATTCAGAAGGAAAAATAAATTATATATACATACAATGGAATGTTACACAGCAATGAGGATAAGTTATCTACAAATATACAATATGGATGAAGCTCACAAGAAGCCAGACACAAAAGAGTTTACCTTGTTAGCGTCCATTCATATGTGTTAACAATAATAGGCCAAATAAAGCTACCATGTTTCAAGTCAGGGTAGCAGTGTTTTTGGTGAGAGGGAATGACTAGAAGAAGAGGACACGAGGAAGGCTTCTGGGGTGCTGGCAGTGTTCTTTTTCTTGATCTGGGCGCTGGATTCATAGGTATATTCAACTTGTGAAAATTAATAATATGCACTTAATGACTAGTCTATGTAAAGTATGTTACACTTAATAAAAAGCTTTTAAAAGGAATGAATCCAAAAATTTTCTAAAGCTAGAGATAAAAGTGAGATAATTGTAGTAGTTTTATATTTGACTGTCAACATTCCCTGGTTTTATTTGATTTCGTTATTAGCTGAAAAATGTGTTACTATTACTTGACTTTAAAATGATTTCCTTCCCCTTATTCACGTAAAACAAATGAGTGGCTTTACCCTTCCAACCTCATCTTGTGACGTATTCCAGGCTGTTAGGAAAGTATACGACAGTGTGACATTTTTCTTTAGTTTTATTTTCCTGCAGATGGAATGGTTGTTTCTTAATTAAGATTGAGGCCCAGTAGAAAGGAGGAAAAGACTTGAAACAAGGCTGGACTGAGGATGAATTGGAAAGGTGTGAATGTGCCAGTCAACTTTGAGTTTGTTGGCATGGTGCTAAAAATATGGACAAGTAAGAAAGCTGGCTACCTCACCTAGGGAACTGTTGCAGGTGATGACACCCAGGCCAGGAGCACTCCAGACCAATTCCATGGTCATTTCCACCAGTTCCATGTACAGTAGTAGGCTAATTAATGCTGCTTCATTAAGTCCAACAGACTTAAACGTTTCACATATTCCTTAAAATAGCTTTGAAAAGACTTTATATCACTCACTCACATTAAAATTGACACCCAAAATTTTTCAACCTAAGTTTCAGTTTATTTTTTGTTAAAAGGAGGTAGAAGATAGTGAATATTTTATAAAATGAAGATGAGGATCAACTGTAACTAGGATCAATATTTTATCACATGATTTGATAATTGTAATTACATTGTGAATAAAAAGCACACTGAATCATCTGAAAGAAATGAATAAAATTTTAAGTGGCTACTTTATCTTGAACTTTCTGGCAGTTCTTCAGAATATTCCAGTTCTAGTTAAAAGAGTCAGCTTCACTAACCTAAAACCTTTTCATATATTCTGAATTCAGAACACACCAGTGCAGGCTCAAGACCTTGTTTCTAATGGCAGATTTTGCCTCTATCAGAATATGCCTAAGACAAAGAAGGGCAGAAATGCTGTAGGTTTAATCATTGAGTTATAAATTTAAGTTGATTCCTCAAAATCTTTTACACCTCAGAGTATGTACCATAGTGGATTTGGGATGGTAACATGTGCAGACTTCATCTCAGACAAGTAAGTCTTAGAAAATATCCCATGTGAAGGTTGAGGAACTGGAAATTTTCCTCCTAAAGTTGCCTGCGAATGTTTATTTCTTAGAAAGTCTTTGTTTGAAATTTGAAGACTGTTGTGATAGATATTTGAACAAGTAGCCAGAATAAACAGATGTGCTGGCCCCTTTGACTTTACATGTAAACAGTCAAGGAAGCCAGTATGGTAAAGTTAAAATCAACCTGTATCTGTCTTGTTTTTGATGGCAAGATAGACATCTTTATTGTTAGTATATAAACAATTTCAGTGGGAAGAAAATAGTATAACTGAAAGTTAAGTCTATTGAAACATGAAATATACTTTTGTATATTTGAATTTTGGAAATGTGATCTCTCAAAAATGTCCCAATAAAAGATAGCTAACTGGCTTAGTGAATTTTACTTCATTTCATTTATGAAGTAATGTAGATTTTGGCAATTACACCTTACAATTGTCATCTTAAAATAATATAGTTATTCACAAAAATATGTGGTAATACAAAAAGTAGTGTATTTTGTGAATAAAATTTAGTTTATTAGAAATTTTATTTCTATTATTGAAAGACTTCCACTGAACAACCTTATGAATGAATTTAAAGTTTTTCTAGAAAAGATTCAACTGACATAAACATAATGGTTATACTTTATACTTTAGAATCAAAAATTACATTTTTTAATGTCTTAAATTAGCTACTGTATTTGTCTTTCAACAATCAATTGAATAATATCCTGGTTTTAAAAATTTTATTCATTTCCTTCAGATGATTCAGTGTGCTTTTTATTCACAACATACTTAATTACTATTATCAAATCATGTTATAAAATATTGATCCAAGTTACAGTTGATTCTCATCTTCATTTTATAAAATCTTCACTATCTTCTACTCCTTTTTACAATGTCTGATATAACAGTGGCTATTTTTGGCATAATGTTTTTATTGTTTAATGTTAATATCCTAAATTTAAATTACATTTTACTGAAACTATTTAAATTATACCATTGAACTTAATCATTATTTTAAAAAATTGGTCAAAATAAAGTAGGATTTTCTGCCTAGGACACAGACACTAGAACTTTGTTTCTCAAAGCATATTCTCTCAAGTCTAATGAGCACAGAGGTGCCAGTTAGGGTGCAGATTCCTGTGTCTGCCACCTGGCAGTCTGCATTTTTGATTGTGCATGCTGAGTGATTCTGAAACACAGTAAAAGCGTGAGAATTGCTGCTCTAGAGCAATGTTATTTAATTCGTTCGTGATCACTGACATGAATTTATGTCATTCCAAATTCTGTTCCTGGTTGCCGCTGATGTGAATTTATGTCATTCCAATTCTGTACCTGGTTGCCACTGACGTGAAATTACATCTTTGCAAATTCTGTTTCTGAATGCTGCAACGTTGCCATATGTATGTGTTACTATATTTTGCTTGAAAATGAATAGTGAGGCAAGGAGAAAGTTAATTGAGATGATTATCTGATATCGACTGTGCAGTATTGTTATTGATTTACATAGTTGGTAAAAAACTGCGAATTGGTTATTATTTTGCTACAATTAGGGTTGTATACTTATATTTTGATATTTCAGGACTTTCATACTTCAGAGTTAAGAATAATTTGCCATAATTATGGAAAGTAAAGAAGTATATGCTGATGAGATTTCTGAAATTGAAGGTGAATCCAGTGAACTTACTAGTGATAGTGAGACAGATAGTGATGTAATGATGCAATGTAAATGAAGAACTATATATATAACACATAAAAATATATAGATATATTTGGTTTATAATCCGAATAAAAATACAAAGTATGGAATGCTAGTCAGAGTGGTGTCTGAGGCAAATACTAGATATGTCTGCAACTTTCAGCTATATTGTGAAAAAGGTGACAGTTTAGAAAAGACCATTTCACTTGTGCTTAACAACTGATGTTTGTGGCAACCAGCTTCAGATTTTGTTAATTTTCACCCACTCTCAGTATTAGGAAAGTAGAAAATTTGCCAATCACAAATGTGTTAATCATGGATTATCCATAACAAAGAGAGGCACCTCAAGTCCTAGGTGTCAGACTATAAATAATAAATTAATAAAACAAAATGCGTATCCTGGAGACATACCCTCTTCCTTCCATCTTGACTTTAATAGCCCAATTCAAACTTAATTGCCCTGTCTTTTTAGCTATGAAGTTTTATCACCATTACTTTCCAAAATACCAGGTTTTTAAAATCACAAACTGCCCTGCAATCACATAGTGTACTTATAGATTGCGTTTACCTGAATTGCTGTAGAACAAATATCTAATTAACTGCTATTAAGATTTAGTCATTTTAAATACAGATTTTAAATGATGTGCTAAAATAACAAATACAGATATTTTAGTTTAATTCAACAAAATGGAGCCAGTGTAACCTGTTTCACAAATGAAGTGACTCAGAATGTTTGTCAACATTATAGGGCCCTCATACGCTTCAGTAAGATAAATAGCACATTTCTGTCCCATATTTTTTCTAAAATGAAGGCTGTCTTTAATCTCTCTCTTTCCACAAACTTTATGCACTAAACCATGTGTCATTGATATGAACGGCTTATTTTGTTTGTAATGGGCCATTGCTTATCTGATACATCATTTGTGAAACTGAAGTTGGGTATTATAATAAGACAGGTATGTAAATAACTTTTATCAGTGATCTCTGTAAAATTTATTTCTTCTTTCCCTTGTCATTATAAAAGGAAACTTTATTTCAGAGTAGAAAGTGCATTGTCTGAACTCATCAACACCCTCTCTATCCCTCCCCTCCCAATTTGTTGCAGACCAGGATGAAAGAGCAGCTGAGCTCAGCAGGGAGCAGAACGAGAAAACCATCCGGAGCACGCAGACCGCGCTCCGCAATTTCCGTGAGTTCCTCATCTCCAAATATCCTTCTGAGACAAGAGAGATTTATGTCATCCCTTGCAAGGAGTTAGATGCCTACCTTGCCTCTTTCTTTGTCGATGCCAGGCAGAAGGATGGGTCCGAATACGAACCCAACAGCTTAGCCAATTACCAGTGTGGGCTTGAACGGTACCTAAAAGAACACAGGTATGGCTACAGTATCACCAGGGATAAGGAATTCAAGCGTTCCCAAGAAGCCCTGAAACAGAAGCAAATTGAACTCCGCTGCAAAGGAAAAGGAAATAAGCCACACAAGTCCATGAAGCTCACATTTGCTGATGAGCTCATCCTGCGGAAAAGGGGACTGCTAAGCCGATATAACCCTGAGGGTTTGCTCAACCTAGTCTGGCTCAACAACACAAAAGCTTTTGGGCACTGCACAGGCTTCCACGGATCTACCTTAAAATGGGGTGATATCCGACTCCGAGTAACAGAAACAGGGCTGGAGTACTTGGAGTGGATGGGCCAGGACACTGGGGACTTGAATGCCAAAACCAAGAGAGGAGGGACGGACTCCCGTGTATATGCCACCCAGCACGCCCCACAGACCTGCCCCGTTCAGGACTATAAGGAATATGCCCAGAGGCGACCTCCTGCCATGCGCTACGAGGATGCTCCTTTCTACTTATCCATCAAGCCAGTCGTTAACTTGGCGGCTCTACATTGGTACAACTGCCAGGCCCTTGGCAAGAACAAACTGGCCAAGATGGTGAAGACTATGTGTGAGAAGGGCAACATCCCTGGCAGGAAAACCAACTTCAGTGTGTATCAGAGCTGCAGCACCTTGTCAGAGGCCCAGAGCAACCAGCTGGTGCTTATCTGTAACAATCTGAGCCAGCAGGCGGCCCAGTCAGTGGCCGGGCACTCCAACAGCGGCAATTTTATTGTCTCCGCTTCCTATGACTCTTCCTCAGACACTGCTTGACCAGGTGGCTTGAGCAAGACCCCAGTTCAGTTACTGTGTTCAGAGAAACTGTATTATACACTGCTTCTCTTTCCCTTTCCTCTGCCCTCAGTGTTAACTTTATAAAAACATAAATATATAATATATTTTTCTTTTTACAAATAAGCCAATGGAGATAATTTAGTATTACTAACATAGTATTTATAGGCTTAAGACAAATGTACTTGTGAGTGATTAAGTGTAATTACTGCAGATATTACAAAACCATAGTGGTTCTCAGGCAACACAAAATAGAGAAGGAATTCCGTTTGTTTTTTTTTTAACTGTCAAAAAGGAAACTGAGAGTCACCCTAGTTGCTTGTGTCCTCAATTCCTGCTTTTCCTTCCCATCCCACCTCCCATTTTTAGTCTCCTTAATAAATAGCTTTATTTTTTTAGTTTTTAAAATTGTGTATTAACCAAGAGGACCCAACACTAACTTTACTGCTAGCTCAAAACTGTATTCAGCCAGATTCAGAATATGAAAGTGTTGTATGAGCTAGACATCAAATTATTTGCATATTCTTTTAAAAACTTAATTAGAATTTTAGCTCCTGTGCCTCATTTTTTGCAATGTATGAAAATCTAGATGCTTAGCTAATATCTTTTCTTTTGGGGGGGAAGGGAATAAAGGTGCCATTCTTTTTGGAAGATATATAATTCTCAAATAATATGCAGACTATAATGTGGCAAAAAAGACTGTTACATAGCTTATTTTTACTGTTGTCCTTGAATTTGGACAAAATTTTTTTTGTTCCTAAGAAAGCAGTGTAAATGATGTTTGATTATCATATTTACAAGGAATTTAAAACTATCAAAGCTTTGGAAATGTTCTCAAGCATTAGACTGTATATCAGACATAAAGAGAAGGTAGAGAATGGAGAAGTCTTACTAAAATTCTAGAAGCACTAGTCGTGACAAATAATAATAATAATGATAACTCATTCTCTTCAAAGTTCAAATCCCCCGAATTATTTATTTAGAAGCATTAAATTTCAGTCTCTTCCCTGGGGGGTTACTCAGCTCTGTAATTGAGATCCAAGGATTATTGACATTCATTTTAGGTAATAATATTTTGTTACCAGATCCTGCTGAATTCAAAGCATTCTTGAAAATGTGCAAGTTTCTTCTACAGTAAATATAAATGCATTTATCTGTGATATTCTGCAATTATTATAATGATTTTGGTTAAACATTTATGGTAGTTTTTCCAAGGTCTTTGTTTTCAAGTCTTGAAGGCTGTGGTAAATTATTAGTTAAGATACTTCAAAAATAAAATAAATTTAGACATTAGAACCACAGTAAAGCTGAGCTAGGTTTCTATCCTGTATAATCATTAACACACATAAAATCCAAATCTTGATTGGTTTGTTGAATCCAGGCATTCTATTGGGAGGTATTTGTTTAACGCGACCTCGTAATTCACATTAGTTAGGAAAGTAGATGATATTTTATGTACTAAATTATTTTACAATCAGGACAAATTACATTCTGATTTGCTTTGCTAAATCATCGCAGAGCTGAGCTTTCCATGGCTAGGCATCTCTTTCCAACACCAAATCATAAGCACATGAAGACGCATTCCTCTAAGCTGTGACCTTTCATTCAGCTCAGGAGTGCAAAGTCTTCTGTGGACTTGTGTGGTAGAATTAACCTCATTTTCGTGATTTTTCCTCTGTAGAGAAGCATTCGTTTCTGTATGTAGAAATGAGAAGAAAAGGCAGAGGATGTCTTGCTTTATTTTTTGTATTAATAATGATGATGATAACTGCCATTTTTTCAGTCAGTATGCATGCCAGCCAGCACTGTGCAAAGTGACTAATATGCATCAAGTATATAAGTTGCTAATTATAAAAAAAGGAAAAACAGAGATAAGGATAAATAAAACTATGTACTCACAAGTCTGTTAGCCAAAGATAACTGCTGTTAACATTTTGGCAAAATTTTTTAGACATATTTCAATACATACACATTTACTTCTATATACATTATCTTAATCCTTTCAGCAACTTTGAAAAGACACTAAGTTATCTCCATTTTGTGGTGAGATCAAAATAAGTCAATTAGATCATACCTAAGGAAATTGTAGTCTGTCATCTCACTCCAGAATGTTTTCTATTTGCCTTTCCCAATACAACTCGTAATTAGTTTCCAGTGATTTGAGCCAGAGCTGTGGACACTGTCTGATTAAGAAGAATGCTGGATGATCTTTCGTGGTGGCACTGTGTCATATAGTCCTTCTCTTTCCCCGCACATTTTGAACCACACAGTCTCTCTCCCATTTCTTTTTACAGAACTTTCTATCCTCCTTATTCTATAGCTGGTCTATAATTGCACAAGACGGCCTACTTTGAGGGAACTCTTTTTTCAAATATAGTTATTTTTATGGGGTTACCTCTCATGTTCAAAAAACGTCTCTGTGATACTTAAAATGTAATTGTGCATTTTAAAAACATGGTTATAATTTCTAAATTCTTGGTGGTTTTTGACAGCAGCATTAAATTTGTCTTAAGAAAGAAGGGCAGTCAGTATGCACTAAGAAAGCAGAACTAGAAAATTTTGAATCCCCACTTGGGTTTATTGAGGTACTGACATGAAAATTTCTCTCCTTAATGGTATTGCATTTTCACTTACAAGAACACAATTAAATTGAGAATGTGAATTATTTATTTGCATTTTGCTGTGATATCCAAATCAAGGAACATTGTGACATTCAGATTCAGAAAACTGTTTTCTGAAGATGGCTTGGTAGAAGCATAGCCAAATTATAGTATCTCTTTTAGTTAATTAAATTATGAAAAATCTGCAACTACCTCTAAATTTTCTGTTTTTAGCTAGACAATACTGAAGACATATCACTGCCAGGTGCTATTTTTATTATTTGGAATTTTTATTTTTAGAAAATCATGTTCACGCTGTGGCAGAGGTAGATGCCAAGATTGTATATGAACTGTAGCAAAAATTCAATAGTTCAGCAGATGTTCACTATAACTGAATGTGCTGCCTTTGCAGACAATCCTGTGGTTCACGTTTGCAAGGTTTACACTTGTAAGATCATGTAATGTCATATAAGAAATCATCCAGTGTCCCTCACATGATTCTGGAAGTTTGGCACTTCCTATAACAGCAACACCGAACCCATCTGTCAGCATTTGGATGCCATAGCTACATAATTCAATCTTTCTTCCTTGTTCATGTGAGTGACTATTGAAAACCAGAGATGTTAACAATTTTTTAAAAACCATAATGTTTGAAAAATTAGGGATATTCAGAATATTTATCCAAGACAACTTATTCTAAGATTCCATTTGTTATAGTTATTAGGGTTGGTCTTAACAGATTCATAAATATATATCAGCCATTTAAAGTATTTACTTTGTAATTATTTTCCCTATGGTTACATTTTCCCCATGTTAAATCACTGTCTGAACTACAAAAGAATAGTCTGAAAATTTCCATCATAGATCAGGTTTGCAGGTTTTTTAATTAAGTTATTATTAGCTGAAACTTTGATATCATTTAGTTGTCTGAGTCATATGGTTTAGCTTCCAGATGTAGTTAAAATTACTGTATGAATATGAAAATGTATAGTCACATCAACAAATACTTATTGAGCAGCTAAAGTCGAGACACTGAGAGGGGTACAAAGATATATAAAATAATCCCTGTTCTCAAAGATTTTATAATGAAAGACACTGTAATAATACTTTATTTCATTTTTGAGAGCCCAGCAAAATACTATAGTGATACTGTTTTTGCATAGTTTTCCACACTTATTATTCAGTTTGTCCATTATTTATTCATTGCCTTAGTTGGTTTGCTGCGTAATATTGTTGTGAATACTTTGTGGAGAATCTTCCTTAGAACCCATTTTAAAATCAATAATAAGATGAAGCCGTTTCTGTACCCTCCATTGTGTTCACATAGGTGTATACATGCATAAGATAATATACAGATCTATCATCTACTGAGCACTTACAATGTGCCATGTACTAAGTGCTTCTGTAAGTTGTTTCACTT